CACCCATGTGGGAAACCTGGAGGAGGTTCCTGGCTCCCGGCTTCGAATCGGCACCGCTCCAACCATTGTAGTCACTTGGGGAGTGAATCAGTAGATGGAAGATCAAAAAAAAGAAAGTGAATGTTTCCAAAAAAGAAATCACACATGAAAGAAATGCCACACTATTCTGGACACATCACACCCAGTCCTCAGAGGGCCGGGAAACCATGTGGCCAACTGACAGAGCAGAAGTCTGCATGCGGTAAGCCTGGGAGCGGACAGGGCGGTGTTCATGCAATTTGCTGCCAGTCAGCAAACTGGACCTGCCGTGTTGCCAGAACCAGGATACAGGGCTGCCAGGAGGGAAGCTGGGAAGGTGTGAGCATGTCTGTTGATATGGGCAACAGGAGATTGGTGCTGGGCCTGAAGCAGGCAGCCGACTTGCCAGGAGTTCACTGCACTTGGTCCCCAGGGTTGATGTAATGGACGGTCTTCTGGAACCTTCGTTTTGGTTCAGGCTCAGGCGCTGCATTGTCGATCACTATAGCCCCGTGGCTCCTGGCAGGCTCGCAGGCCTCAGGAAGCTGGTGGGGTGGCAACCTGCACCCAACTTGTGCCAGGCTGGGGCACAGTTCATGCTCAGCTGGTCAGGGACAAGGCCGCACAGTGCCAGGCCTTCCTTGCAGTCCCAGCATTTATTGTCCCAAGTCTTGGCCTATTTGCTTTGTGACCTTGGAGACATCAAGAAACCTGTGTCTTCATCCATAAAATTGAATGTAAAAATATTGACTTGTCTCGTCGGGGTTTCATGGAGGAATGACTAGCCCAGATGACGGCAAAGCTCCTTTGTTAGTCAGAAAGGCCCAAACCGCTTAGCAAGCATGAACTCAAGGTTTGAAAATTGGTTGCCTGCTTGATGTATTCCTTCGTTCACCCTTCCCCAGCAGTGCCCGGGGCTGGAGCCGCAGGAAGGCCAGCATGCGTGCTGGACTCCAGGATACAGCTTCCCCGGAGGCCTCAGCACACAGCAGGGCCCTGTGACTACTCACCCCACCAAGGCACCAGGGATACCCTGACCAGTGTGCCTCAGCCCTGTCCCACCACCACATCAGGGTGGGCCCGGGCCAGCAGAGAGGGGCGGAGTGGGTCTGACCGTGGCTCCTCCCACCATCAGGGTGAGGCTTGTGCTGGAGACAGAGCTGGGGAAGAAGAGGCCAACAGAGCCCCGTCCTCACAGAGGTTACATTCCGCTGTGGGAGGTGGTCGGAAAACAAACATGCAGGACGTCAAGTGGCGAGTAGCAAGTGCTGAGAGCAATGCATCAAAGCAGGGCAGCCAGATGGAGGAGATGGAGACGTGGTGTGCCCTTTTATCGGGTGGGGACGGCTCCTGAGCAGGGAGAAGCCTGATGGGAAGGAGGAGACGTCTGCAGAAGGCTCATCCCCTCCGGGGCTCTGGCAGGGGCAAAGGCCCCAAAGTAGAGTGTGCCCAGCTTGGCTGGGGAGCAGGAAGCCAGAGGCTGCCCGCAGTGGTGTGAGTGGCAGGGCAGTCAGCACACGAAGCTGGAAGAGCCGTGGGCCTGGGAGTCCTGGAGAGGGAGGCTGGAGGAGCAGCGTGGTGCCAACTGTGTCAGTGCCGCGTGGGGGCAGACTAGGAAGCAGCGGCCATGCCCTGAGGGAGCTGGGAAGGTGAAGGCAGGGCTGGGAGGAGCCTGGGACCCTCCACCTGAGCTTCTAGAAACCCAAGCTTGCCAATTACAGACAAGAGGGCCTGGGAAGGTCAGGTGACAAGAGCTGGGAAGGGGTCCTAGCCGTCCAGGAGGCCTGGCCGTCCAGGTTCTGCAGACTGCAGGCTCCTGCGCTCCTCCCTGGGAGACACTTCCTGTTCCCATATTGGCACACAGCTGGGAGTCAGCCTTCCCCACCTCTCTGAGTACCCACCTGCCAGTTTCCCTCCCTTTTTCTTGAGGCTCGTTTATTTGAAAGAGTTTCAGAGAGAGCCGCCATCCTCTGGTTCACCCTCAGAATGGCACAGGGGCTGGGGCTGGGCCAGGCCTAAGCCGGGAGCCAGAACTCTGTCCTATCTCCCCCAGGGAGACCCAGGGCACTTGGCAAGGACCCAGGCACTTGGGCCATCACCTGCTGCCTCCCAGATGCTCTAGTAGGGCTAGAACAGAAGCAGAGCAGCCTGGGATGTGGCCATCGCGGACAGGCACACTGTCCAGTTTCCCTTTCCACACTGTGGAAATGCCAGCTAGAAGGTGTCCCTCTGCTCAGCCCCTCCCCAAGTCTGCAACCACCTGCCCTCTGCACCCGCTGGCCCTGCTGCCTTTCAGCCCCTCAGAGAGGTCCGACTCTGGTCCCACTCAGGGCCTTGGCCATACACGGCTCTTCTCCTACCTGGAAGCTGTGGTGCTTTTTCTCATCTCTGCCTCAGCTCCGGTGCTGCCTCCTCAGAGAAGTCCTCACTGACCACTCAGCATGAGTTAGGTACCCCAGCCATTCACTGTTGTAGCTCCCTGATTCTTCCCCTTACACCTTCCCATGATTCTGTGTCCTAGTTCACAGGTTCATGTTATCTGTCTCCACAGTGGGAGTCAGGAGGGAGGCTTGTCAAGTCCTTGCATGAGGCATGGGTACAGTAGAGTAAGCCTCTACACAGTCGTCCACATGGCATGTTTCAAGAAGGAATACAGCCCACCACATTCAAGGCAGGACTGGCAGGGGAGTCCCATGTGAGCAGCCCTGATGGGCTGAGTGAGCAGTGATGGGCAAGTTCTTGGGGTGGGTACTGGGCTCATGATTGTTCCTTATATCCCAATTTGAATCCCTCACACATGGAAGCAGAGGCTGTCCCGTAGAACAGCTGGGGCAGTTCTATAAGTCAGGTTTGAGGTAGCCAGCACTGTCTGGAGTGGCCAGGAAGGCCTTTCCAGGACAGTGGGTTGAGAGTGTGAAGAGTGTATGGCAATTGGCCGGGTGGGGGGAAATCCCCAGGAGGGAGAAGCCCTCCGGGCAAAGCAGGGTGGGTCTGCTGCTGTGGCCTTGGGGCTGGTGAGCACGTGGGACAGGAAGCTCTTTGCTTTCCTCAAAGCTGGGTTGCAGAGTGGCACTTTTCAGCCAAGCACTTCCTGGTGCAGCAGAGGGTGACCCAGGAGTCAATCTCCATCAAGTTCCAGTTGGCACAAGGGTCCCCCTACTCACAGCAGCCATGACTACAGGGTAAGGCCAGCACGAGGTGTGAAATGGGAGTCTGTGTAGAAGGGGGTGATCAGGAGGTGCCTAGTTCGAGGTGTGTGGTGGTAAGCCGCCCTGGAGGAAGGAAACAGCAGAGGCGCTCTGGCACCCTGACTGCTGGCCGGCTGGCTGGGAAGGCAGGCAGGCGGCTCAGGCCTGACTGCTGCGTAGACAGAACCTCATGTAAGCTGATCATCTCCGTGCGCTCCCAGTTGCATTCCTGGACATCTTATTTTCCCATTGCCTTTGCAGGCGATTTCAGAGATGTTTTATGTTTCTTTTTTATTGATCTTGGCTGTGGCTTTTGACACCAGCCTTCTCACTTTCTCTGCCCCCTGACCCCTTGGTTAGGTAGTTAATGATCTTTAAACAAACACTTGGTATGAGGGCTCTCCACCAAGGGTCCTGGGCCTGTGGACTGAGCACAGCATTCGCCCTACGTCCCAGGAGAAAGCGGGGGATGCTTGCAGCAGCAGCAGCAGCCCTCTGCAGCCCACGGGTGTTAGTAGCAGCCTTCTGAAACATGTTGAACCTTTCTGTTTCTTTTAAGAAAAACCTGCAAACACACTTCATCTCCTCTCAGAGCCAGAGATCACAGTAGGACGTTTATGAATGTTAGTAGGACTTTCCATGCCTGTTCCTGATTTACACACTATGGACAGGGAACCCTGCCTCGTCCAGGAGTCAGTGCAAACTTTTCAGAAGCAGAGACAGATAAGATCAGGTTATTCCCGAGCCTCAGCTCCTGGGGTGACTTCCGGGCCCTGCGTGACACGGCATGGGGCTGGGCCTTGACCTCCCCACTCTCTCTCCCTGCCCTCCCCTGCAGCAAGCCCTCCTGCCTCTTTGTTTATTTCTCAAACTCAAGCTCACCAAGTTGCTTCTGTCTGCAGGCCTTGGCCTCTGCATCCCACATTGGCCATTTTCTCTGGGTCGTCCTCTGACCGACCGCCTCCTGGTCAGCACTCAGGCACCACCTCCGGGGGGGGGCCTTCTTAGCCGCGGCGCCCTGGGTGGTTCCCACAGGGTGTGCGGTGTACACTGTCTCAGTAGTCAATGATGTATCTGCATACATGTCATTTTCTGTGTTAATTTCATTTATGTGCATAGGGCTTGAGGTAGTATTGGGCCATAATATGATGCATGGGTTCCCTATGCATGTAATGGTGGTGCTTCTAAACCACAGTCCTTCTGCAAGGTGGAGCCCAGCACACAGCAGGTGCTCAGGAAGTGTATGTCAGATGGCTGAAGAGGCCCTGCCTGGGGATACACAGCCAGTGGGCAGACAAGGGCAGGGTAGACAGCAACAGCAGCGGGCCTGGGTGTGCTTTGGAGTGGGCCTGGGTGGGCCCTGGGAAAACAGGGCCAAGTCCTGCCCACAAAGGGTCTGGGCAAGCTTTTCCTAGCAGTGGTACCTGGCCTGGGGTAGGAAGGGCAGATGGTCGTGGCTTGGCAGGCTGAGGAACTGGGTCACGTGGGCAGAGGCCGGGAGCAAGCCTTCACAGAGAGCTGGAAGTCCAGAATGGTTGATGAAATAGGAGTAACCTGGGCAAATGCAGCTGTGGGGGAAGCAGGAGCCAGAGGCTAGAAGGAACTGGGCTGGCCCCAGAGTTGACCTGCTGGGACCCCAGCGCTGGGCATCAGGCTTTCAGAGGAGTGCCTGCCCTGGCCTGTCCTCCCTGTGCCCTAGCCCTGGGTCACGTGTGTTGGCGCGTCTTGGGGCAGGGGTCTCCCTGCCCCTCGAAGCATGCAGGTTTCATGTGCTCCTCCTCTTGCTCCCCTCAGGTGGTGAAGAAGGTGAAGTCCATGCAGATGTTCCACATGCCCGTGACCTCAGCCATGCAGGGGGACCGGCTGGGCATCTGCGTCACACAGTTTGACCCCAAGCTGCTGGAGCGCGGGCTGGTGTGCGCCCCTGAGTCCCTGCACACTGTCCACGCGGCACTCATCTCTGTGGAGAAGATCCCGTACTTCCGGGGGCCCCTGCAGACCAAGGCCAAGTTCCACATCACCGTGGGCCATGAGACAGTCATGGGCCGTCTGATGTTCTTCAGCCCCGCCCCCGATGCTTTCGACAGTGAGCCTGTGCTGGACTCCTTCGACTTCTCTCGAGAATACCTCTTCCAGGAGCAGTACCTTGGCAAGGATTCAGCGGGGCCTGTGGCAGAGGAGGAGGCTGACAAAAAGGCAGGCCCGGCCGCAGAGGGCCGCTGCCCTCGGCAGCAGTGGGCCCTGGTGGAGTTCGAGAAGCCCGTCACGTGCCCCCGGCTGTGCCTGGTGATTGGCTCCAGGCTCGACACGGACATTCATGCCAACACGTGCCGCCTGGCCTTCCACGGCATCCTGCTGCACGGGCTGGAGGCCAAGGACTACGCCGAGAGCTTCCTGCCCACGCTGAAGGTGTTCAAGCTCAAACACAAGCATGGCCTCGTGGAACGGGTGAGCACTCAGCCCCCTGCCACTGTCCCTTCTTCCTGGATAGCCCCCGCAGTCCTTTATTGTTTTCTAGGCAAGAAAGGAACCCATGTCCTCTAGGCTACAGCCGGGGGGCCAGCCTTCCGCTTACTCCCATGGTGGAGACCACCTCCCTCACCCCACCCACTGCCACAAATCTAAGCAGACCTGGCATTTCCTCAGTGGCACATGGCAGCATTCACATGGGCCTCCCTGAATGCCGGACCCTGGTTCTCCTGCCCTTTGTGGGTGCTGACCTTCAGCAGACCAAGTAGCTGCCCATGTCTACCCGAGGCTACCCGTCTCTGCCCCAGACTGCCTGTGTCCACCCCAGGCTGCCCATGTCCACCCCTGGTGGCCCGTGTTTGCCCCCAACTGCCCATGTCTTCCCCCAGCTGCCCGTGTCCACCCAAGGCTGCCCATATCCATCGCAGGCTGCCCATGTCCAAAGCAGGAAGGGACTCAAGGAGGCAGGGAGCCCCAGAAAGGCAGAGGAGTTTGTTGTCACTAGACATAGACCGTAAGCATGTGACTGGGCCACCTTGATCTACATGCTTGTCACTAGAATTGACAATGTGGTGGTCTGTCCCCAAGCCATGAAATCCCCTACTCCCATGAGGCACCTGGCCATGCAGCTCTGAGTGGGAATCCACGGCCAACTGGACTTTGCAGACAGACTAGGCAGGCATCCAGACCCACTGTCACACGGGGCTCCTCCTCCCCTGGCTTGTCTCGGGGTGTGCAGATGTAGCTCTGTGGTTCTAGGACTTGTATGGGCTTTAGCTGACTGAGCGTGGGGCACTGGTGAGTCTAGGTGGGGTGCAGGGCTCCTAGCAGGGTCTGTCCTGGGACTTCCAGCCAGCAATGATGAACCCCATCTCTGGGTCCTGGTCTCGGAGCGGATGTCAGCGTGTGGTCTGACCTCCGTGGAGTGGGTTGTTGGGGGGGAAGCATGTCCAGGGTTCCGTTGCTCACCTCCATCTGTGCAGGCCGGGGCTCCTGCTCTGGAATGCACTCTTGCGGCAGGGATTCTTCCTCATGCTTACGTCCTGTCCTGGCCCCAGGCTTGCCCTCAGCTGGGGACATGAGAAGCTGCCCCTCATTGCCCTCTCCCACACCCAGAATCCAGGATCCAGGGCTCTGGGAGGCCGTGGGGCCTGCTCGGGGGCTGCAGCAACCCATGTCCAGCCTGAAATGCTGATTGGAGATGAAGGTGATAAAGCGTGTGTCACTCGTTTGCCTGGCTTGATTTATTAGGAACGTTTTGGAGCATAATTATTCTGTAGTGAAATGTCTTCCCACGTGGTGTGGCCGCTGCCTCTGATTGCTCCCACACAGGCCCGTCCAACATGGGCAGCCAACCCTTCCCATGAACCATCAGAGTGCCGAGAGGAGAAATGAGCACACTGCCAAAATGACGGGCTTCATCAGGGCTGGGGAGGGACCCAGGCCCAGCCCATCGAGGGCATCCTGTAGCCGCTAGCCTCATCCTGCCCTGGGCCAGGGAGGCCAGGAACAGACACACGAAAACCTTAGACTCTGAGAGCATAGCAGTGTGAGTCCAGATGCCACACACACAAGTCCCTGAGCCGCCATAGACTTCCTGCCGGCGGCTTCCCAGAACGGGTCCTATTAGCCAGGCCTCCGGGTGCAGGAAGAGGGCTTCCCAGGCGCCAAGTTCTAGCCACAGGCTCTGGGTCTCCATGCCCCACACTCTCCCTGGGCCTGGGGCAGGAATCAGCAGGTCACCCTCCACCCCTCTCCCACCCCATGTGAGCACCTGCTGTGTGTCTTCACTAGATGCCTGCATTATTCCAAGACCTTCAGGTGACTCTGAGTGGTGGTGTTAACTTTGCCTTACCTTCTTTTTTCTCTTTACAGTTAAATAGATCACTATGTCCTAATATGTGTAAATATTTATACATGCGTAAAGAAAAATCTGAGCAGAACAAAAGGTTACTTAAATTTTGTTCCTACTCTGGACGCGGGTCACCAGACTCCACCCCAACATGGGGTAGCCAGACTGGAACCAGCTTGTGGGACATGAAGTGACTTGCCAGAGGTCACATGCCAGGAAAGTCAGGATTTGAACCCAGGGCTGGCTGGCCTTGGGGTTGATGTCTTTCCATTGAGTCAGACAGATTCTTGCCCAGTATGTCCCGAGACTGTGCTCTGGAAAAGCCAGTGCCTTCTTGCTGGGAGCTTTCTCCCCTGCGCACTTGGGAAGGCCCTGCACAGCCAAGCCGGGGCCCTCACAGGAGCCTGTATCAGCTGTCTCCGTGTGTCCATTGACAGAGGGCACAGAGCAGTTGAGGAGGAGCCACCAGAGCATGTGGCTTCTCACCTGAGAGCTGAAGCTACAAGGCAGCTTGCCCATGCAACTGCCCGGGGCAGCCTGGCTGGGTTCAGAGCAGTAGCCCTGTGACCCAGGGGCCTCAAGATTGTCCGACTTAGCTTGACTGATGGCCGGGAGGTACCAGGCACACGTGCAGACCTGGGCTTTCATGGTGTCCCTGCCTCCCTGATAGGTCGTGGGACTTTTGCCCACACTGGTGTCTCCCTTCCTGCAGACTGGGATTTTCGCAGCTCTGCACCTGGGACCAGAGAGGCGAAACAAGCAATCACACATAGGTTCGCAAGGCCAGTGCTCGGCTCCTGCGCCAGGCTTATAGCTGGATTATTAATGCTTTTTTTTATTTAAAAAAAAAAGATTTATTTCAAAGGCAGAGTTACAAAGAGATAGAGGGTGAGACAGAGAGAGAGCTCTTCCCTGGCTGTGCTTGCTGGGTATGTTTGTTGCAGCCACCTCACCCCAAGCTTCCTGGGCCTCCTAGGGAAGTTACTGTGAAGTCAGCACACAGTGAGAAGGTTAAAGGTGGCCCAGGTGGGACTTGCAGCCCCATCGCCACCTGCTCCCCTCACTCTGAGACGCCAGGCAGACGCCGTGAGGGACGTCAGTGATTGCTGTTGTCAGCTGGTTACTGAGCTCCCGTGCGTGTGCCAGGCCCTGAGGGCACAAGAGAGACAAGACGTTTGTCGTCACATGGAGACTACCGTAAACAGAAAGGTTAAGACATTCAGGTGTAAACAAAGTGATGGGCAATGCTTGGCACACGGAGGTGGTCACTGTCGCAGTGGCCTCTTTCATGCTTCCCAGTTTCCTGTAAGATGGTCGGGACAGGCGGGTGCCCCAGCCGAGGTGGCACTGAGCAGAGCCAGCAGTGGCCTGCGGGCCAAACCTGGGCAACTCTGCTTGCCCCAAATCTAATCATTTTAAACAAGCTTGTTTTCTCTGGATCCTTTTTTGTAGCCCTGTGATCAAACACAATTGAATAATTTTTCATTGGCAAATGGCCCTCCTCACTTGGTTAACAAATGAGCCATTTAGAAGGCTACTTTGATTGAAGCTTCATTTCCTGTGTGTGCGCGTGCGCACATCTGTCTGCTGTGATGTGTGATGAGACGGACTCCTCATGTTTCTAACTTGTTATTCTCTGAATGTTGTGATGACAGAAAACCCAGTTTTGTCACATTTCTTCTAATGCCCATACAGTGCACTGTTTGTGTTTTATTAACACAACCAATAAGCACGGTAGTTTGCTGTGCCCAGACCCCACTAAGCCTTATGCTGCGACATTTCAAGTCCACCTTTACTTGAAATGTAAAGTTACCTGGGTAGGCACTGGTAATAAAATAAATAGGACGTTGTGGTTAGGTGAATTGCTGCTGATGCCATCATGATATGTAGCTGCTGAGCACTTCACAGGTCTCTGTCCTGGCGGCTCAACTCTACTGCCATGTCACAGAAGCAGCCGCAAGCCACATATAAGTGAATGACGCTGAAACTTGGATTCTGTAGTTTTGCAGATCATGAAACATTTTTCCTTGGATGTTTCTCAATGTGTTTGAAAGTGGATTGTGAGTCATTTGTAGCTCACGAGCTGTGTGACAGCCCCTAGCAGGCAGAATTGGACCTCTTGCTCTGAATGGTAAATCGGGTTCTGACAATAGGGTGAGCAGCCTACAAGGAAAGCTCTGACCATCACCTGCAGCAAAAGCACTGCCACCCCCCCCCACCAGTCCTGAAGAGCAGGTGTAGGTGGGAGGGAGATGAGGGGGTCGCAGCTGAGGGGCCAAAGGACGTGAAGGAACCCTGCAGGACTCTTTCTAGGGTGGAATATGGAGAAGAGAGCCAGAGCATATGGTAGCAATGAAAATCATTGGTATCCTGCAGTAGGTACAGATACAGAATATATGTATGATTTTTCAGCACAGATAGGGAAAGAAAACATGAATGAAATGAGTGTTTACTAAAACTTCCATGTTTGCAAAGGAAAAACTGGAATGAACGTGAACCTACAAAAATAAGGAGAACAGTATTTATTAATAATTTTAAAAGAATAAAATTAAGTACCAGTCATTACACTAAATGTGAATGGTAAAATTTGCCTCTTTAAACACAGAGACTGGAGGCAGGCATTTGGGGAAATAATTTAAGACCCTGCTTGAGACAGCACATCTTATGTCATAGTGCTGGAGTTTGAGTCCAGCTTCCTCCTGATGCATATCGATTGAGAAACTGGGTTAAAAATCAGACAAGGGAAATTTAAAATTTTAAAATCCTTACCAGGGTAGGTATGGTAATAATAAAGGCACAATTACAAACTGTAGCCACAAACTTGTTACAAATCAGGAAGAGCCTGATTTTTAAAAGGGAATTGTAATTATTGTAGGGACACGTCAGCATATGTACTTTAAAATCAAACAAGCTGCTGGTCAGCAGGTGAAAACAAAGAGGTGTGAGCCCATCAGTAAGCATGGTTTTAGGTGAATGCCAGTGCTTCCATTCCTCAAGTTAGAGAACAGGCTTTTCTTTATTCGTTGCATATCTCTGGGATAGTTATAAAAAGTGATTAGTCATCAGTAATCATTCAAAAGAATATTTGTAGAATATGTGCTATGTGCTTTTTTTTTTTTTTTGAGGG